AATTTTTATTAACTTTGTTCTGTATTATCAGATTCTGATCAGAAGTCTTTAATACGTTTTTAAGCATCTATTTACTCTTATGTAACATTAATTATTAAATTGATATGCTGTGATTACAATCATTGCATACACATAGAATGTCTTTTAACAGGGTCACTTTGCAATCCACTCTACTGCTGCACGCTTGGTGCTTTTTGTCTCTGCAGCTCTGCGTGACACCCACGCATCTGTGTGTGATGCCGTTAGATTTGCGTCATTTGACGGGGCAGGATGCCTGCAGACCACAGTCTTTATTCATTTATATTGATCAGGCGTAAAGCAAACAGAATAGAAGTGGCTGAATCTCAGTTCAAGGGCTACTTACGCTTCTTTAATGACAGAACATCTCGGTGTCCTTTAAAGGTTGTGCTGATCTCCCTTATTTTAGTGGGGATTTGATTTAGGCAGCTGTAGATTATGCTACATTTAGGACACACGATTGATTGGCTGCTGTAGGGTGTGAAAGATGATTGAACATGCCTGCAATGTTCTTCAGTGACATTAACTGCAAACCAAATGTTGTTGTGATGAAAGCCTTGTGTGAGGACATGTTTTTAGCGATTAATGTTGGAATGAAGTGATGAATCCATCTGGGTTCCCCTTCAAACAATTACCATGGTAACTACAGTTTCTGTTTAAATATCTTGATTTGTAGAATTAATGTTACTACTGTAAAACCAAAACAACAAGTGTAGTACGGTTTCAAAAGATGATATTTATTTCACAGATCCCTGGAGTGCTTGATTCTGATTGGTCAGTTGTGGTATTCAGTGCTCTGATATTTCATAATATAGAGAGCAACAGTGTCCACCCACTTTTTCAGTGACCTTGGTTCCAGAAGTATTCCTATTCATTTTTCCCATAGGTTTTTTAAGTGTTCATTTAAGAGTTATAAGCCATGATTTATAAACTAAATGATAAATTATAAAGAAAAAGGTACAAAACTGTGTACCTAATAGTTTTAACTACAGTCCCATAAAGTATTGAATGACATAACTGAATTAAAAAGAGAAATATAAATGGTTGACTTAAAGATGTTGATTTTATAAAGAGAAACATTTATTTTTTGTTTATTGCAAAATATGCATATTAGGCTATATTCATATTTAAGAATGTAGAGAAACTGGCTTTATTTGTAGTGCTTCATGGGAATGGGCAGGCTTTCTTTTGGTGTGATTTGCTTCTCGCAGTTCTGTGTTTGGTAAAGATTTCTTTGCGGAATCTTGGGTAATTTAGTTTTTCACCAGAAATTTCACTGTTGAACAGGATTATTTAAAAAATAAGATGAAAGAATGCAGACTGACGTCTTCCACAAAAGTATAAACCATCGATTAACACTTTCGTAGGTCACAGTAGGTCTGTCTTTAAAGGTGTATAATTTATCTTTCAAAATGAATCTCCTACAGAGAAAATTAATGGGATTTTTACTTCTGGAACTTGACTATTGTGCACTAGCATTTCCGTGGTTTCATTGTGGTAATAACTACTGTAAGGTACTATGGTAACATTTTTAAGGGATTCTTGGTTGTGGAATTCCAGCAATGCTACCAGATGACCCGTTGGATGGTTTCTCACTGCATTCGTGATTTTTAGGCTACGTTTTCTCAAAAGCTATGTAGAGTTAAACATTCATCAAATGCCTTATCTCGTTTACTGTACATATGTAATTCACTTACGCTGTGTGGTTTAAAGACACCTCAGATGGAGTCTCTCTCACGCACTGATTTTTGCACTGCACCTTTTATGAGTTTTGCTATGACAGATATTAAAAGAAAAGCTTTCCCAAAGATCTCTCTGGGCCCACTTGCAGGTTGAATGTAAAGTCTGTCCTTGTGTCCATGTATACAGTTATGATGCCATATCCTATAGGTTACATCAGGTAACACTAATCTTTGTAAACAGTTTTGTTGGATATCCTGCTTTTGTTGTCACGTCTACTTATTTAGATTAGCTGATTCATTATTTCTTTTCTCAACTGTAAAATAACTTTCTCCATGCTAGTGTAATCTTAATGCTCAACAACTATTTACAATAGCTTTTATTTTTAGTGACCGTAAAGAGAAGCTTTTCTGATAAAAAAACATTTAATGGGGTTCACAAACTCTTTAAACTTAACTTTTGCCTTTGACTGTATTTTTTGAACACTATTGAAATTAAATAAGAATGTATAATGCTTTGAATTTATGTATTTAATGTGCTTTTCAAAGTTTTATTCACAATCTTTAAAAATGGCCTATTCTGTAATTACTGTTATTTCATTATGTGTTTCACAGAACAAGATTCAACATTCAAAAACCTTTGTCTCTTGTCTAACACTGAAATTATGTATTTTTATTTACTCTTTATGCTGAAATAATCACTGAATTTTTACTACATTACTTGTGTGGTTTGCTGAAAAAGACAAACAAAAAAGACAGTTGGAAACTAAATCAATTTCACATGCTTCTGTACATTTATCGATGATATACTGAATATCAGAATAGCTTTTGCTGACCTTTTTAATGAACCATATTTGCCTATGGAAATGCTGATCTTATGCCTAAGAGAGAAACTAATATGACTATATCTATTTTAAACTGCGAGTCTCTCAGCAGAATTTGATAGGTCAACAGGACCGGAAGAAACACTTGATCCAGCACAGCTTGGAACGATTTCTGCTGAAATCAGTACCAACACCCTCCTTTATTTCCCTGAGCCATCTGGCAATCTGACAGACATCAGCATTAGAGGAAACACAGATCACTAATGTCAGTCATCCTGACATTAACAATTATATACGCAAAGGTCAGATGCTTACTTGGATTAAGACTGATTTTAAATCAATTGCCTAGTGTCTTACAGCAGAAAAGAAACTTGGAAAAAACGTATTATATTAGAGTATGACCCAGAGTCTGTCTCTCTCACTCATTCAGAGACTAAACCCACTTCAGTTATCTGCAAAAATAATAATTTATTATCATTTTATTATTAAATTATCATTTTTTTGTCTTATTTTAAAGTAAAAATATATAGGCTATTAAAAAAAACATCCTTAAAACATGGTCGAACTGACCAAGGTTTAAGGATGCTTTTCTATTTTTGAAATTCCATAAGAGATCCTAGAACCTGCAACATCAATAACTAAGATTAGTGCAAAAGGACAACCATTAGTTGTTACCTCATTTGCAGTTTATACAAAGATTAGTAAAGCACTCATGTTGTTAGCATAACACAAGGCCTTGCATAATGTTATCAACCCCTAATGACAAAAGCTATGACATTATAATAGCCCCGATCCAATGGCTGGGTTTAGTTGAGTAAAAAGCTGATTCTCCGTACCATACACATTAATAGCCTGGGGTTGAGCGGGGAATAAAATCTAATCCACCTTTTTCCTGAGTAACCGATGACGAGGGCCGCTATGATGGATTCTAACTTACGTTTAGGTGATCGTGTTCCGGTCTCCGTAGAAATCCATGTTTAAAACGGGGTAAAAAAAGATCGACTTAATTAAACTGAAACTGTGTTGAATAATGTGTGCTCTTATTATTTTGTGGCCAAAATCCTGCGAACTTTGTCCCGATCTGGAACTGTAGCTATATGTGTGCCCTCATCTGTTTTCAATGTAATTTACCTTGGGCCACTTCATCTATCCATCCACTACGCTACAGGAGCGTTACTGCATAAAGACGGTCCTTGCGACACTGTAAAGTGACGAAACTATGGCCCCATGTAGTTGTTAAAAATCACTTTAATAGTTTTAACGTTATATTATCGGCTCGAAAAATACGTTAATGTGATTGTGACTAGAAAACACCAGAGACGGAAATGTAAAGCATCGTTCCAGTTGAGCGAGACTCCTGCGTTCAGGAAAAAAGAAGTCCTGTAACTGGTCAGTTTTCCACCGTATTTCCTTGGATGTGCGTTCTTAAAGCGAATGTATTACGCAAAGAACATTTCAAATGAATGTACCACACATCTGTGCTTTGCTTTGGTGTACATGTACTCAAATTAGGTATGGGTCACTAGTCAATACATCTGATTGAATCAGAACAGAAATCTTGTGGGACTAGTTCACTAAACGCCAGTGGTCAGTCATTTCAATTATCTAAGCATCAGCATATCTCACATATTTTATTCAATTTCCCATTTTCAAACTTGACTTTATTTCAGAGGAGCAGATACATGTGTCTAATTATAGAGCACAATGTAACTGACATCATGAAGCAACATTGAAACAGCTGAAATGCTTCCACTATTTTATGCACACTTCTTCACTTTCCTAAAATATTATTTGAAACATTTAAATGTTTTAACACTGCTACCTTCGAAGTAAAAACCTCATAGCAGGTATTTTGAATACTGGAGGCAGTAGTACTAAATGATGGCTTACACATGGGCCATGGCATTCAACCAAGGAGATCTTTTGTATCATGTTGCAATCCAATGGTACTCATTTGCAGACCATCACAGTGAACATCTGCTTCAGACTGAACTGAAACGTTCTGCGCTGCACTGACCGCCTCAGCAGTGACATAACACCTGTCAATTATGCAACAGCTCAGTCAGAGGCTAAGAGCTAGCGATTTTCAATCTGTAAAGAAGTTGAGTGCTGGCAACCATCCATTAGGCCCATCCTGGATGGAAGGCTGACTGTCAAAAAAAAAAAAAGGAAAAAGGTACTAATATGGATTTACACACACACGTATCGTGTGTGTGCAAAATCCTTTTGCAAAAAGATCCATTTTTAATCCAGGATTTGTGGGGGGCAATGTTGCATGTTTGACGACTGCATAGGGTTTATATATTGTAGAAAAAGATACGTATGCCATTTCCCCAGAAAAAAGTTTTTTTTTTTTTTTAAACCATATGTTTAAAATCATACTGTAATACTAAAGCACTTGTATGGCTAGACTATGATCACAGTCAACAGTCAGATCAAAGGTTTTGCAAAATATGTTTATCCCAGAGAAAACACGTGATTATAGTTTGCAAATATTTAATTGTCATTTTTCATTCTTAGAAATAGATGCTAAATAATATTTTGGAGAAAAAAAAACATGTTCTGAACAAACTAGACATGATATTTCTCAATAATATAAGAAGTTACAGTGATACAAAACAGTTAATTTTCACAAGCATAATTTACACGCAGCGTTACCTTTTGCTTTCCTAAAACACAAAGTCAGCTGAACCATTTTGGACCTCTGCTGCCAACATGCATACTACAATCATCTCTGCCTGAAAATTCTTCACAGAAGTCAATGAAATGGCAGAAAGGAAAACATCTGTTGTGTGCTTTCAGTTTATAAAACATTTATACAGTGTCTGCTGGTTCAAGACACGTCCCAAATGCACCATAAACCACCTCAGTTTGGAGGGAGAACCCATTAAAATAAAAACTTAATGCTGACTGATAACAATACAGACACAGAAAAGACATTTAGTGAGGGTGGCAAGTGCAGAAATAACTTTTTTCATAGACAAAGCTAACAGAGATTTTAAAACATTTTGAACACTTGAAAAGAGATGTTTTACTACAGAATTTTAGAAGCAAAGAAATGGAATATTAGGCTACCAGAAAACAGGTACTTAAAGCATGTTTATTGTGCTCTGTAAGGCCTAACAGTGTCGGTACTGTGGGTAAGTTGATGTTTCCTATGGCTTGAAATACTGAATTGTAAACTTTCTGGGAAATTCTGCAATCAAAACTTTTTGTAATTGAACATTCACATAACATCCTGGTGTTTCATCTGAGGATTCATTCTGAATGTTCTCTCAGTGCAGGACTGGATATCCGGGAATCAGCAGCAATAGGAGACGTCGGTGCAGAGGAGACAGATGAAACCAAATACATCATCCTTTAACTCTCTGTCTGGAGGACCTGGTGTCTAGCCAGAACTAATGGCATGTCATTAAAATAATCCAGAGAGCACTGAGCAACTGAACCCACCAAAGGATGAGCTTCAGTAAATGAGCCCAGTGCCTCAAAGTCTGGGCGACAATCTCTTAGAGACCTCAAAGTCCAAGTGTTTGTCCAAATGCCTCAACGCCAATATCAATAAGAACAAGTGATGTTGTTTGTTTAAACAACGAAGCCAGGAAGTTTCAAAAGCCGGTCAGCTTTCATCCATTTTCTGCCTGTTCCAAGTCCAGTCATTCATGATGTACCTGCCAAACCTTCAGTCCAGTTAAACAGCTGAGATACGTTATAATCAGTGCTAAAAAATGGATCAGTGGATCATCTTACAGCATCCACACTAATGCTGTGGAAGAGTCTGGTCTCCAGTCTTTCATCTTCTAAGTGCATTTCAGGCCTCCACAGCTTCTAGGTCTAGCGGCTCTGAAGATAAAAGCAACAGTCTAGATCAGTTCCATGTGGTGTAATGGGAGTGTTCATGGAGGTTCATCTCATTCTCCTAATTTATGGACATAGTTGACTGGAAAAGAGCCACTTCTAGACGGTTCTCCCTCTATATGGCCCACCTGGGAGGGAAAGAGTGCAAGATGTTTAAGTCTTCAGTTTGAGCTGTTTACAGGAAATTTATTCACAGATACTCCAAAGCTTGTTAAAAGCACGCTTGGACACAGGATGTGTGCATGTCAGTGTGAGAGAGTTTGTATACTTACCCACCAGTGTGGGTCATCAGTTGCTGTCACTATGATGACCTCGTTCTTAAAGAAAGCCAGCTGATTGGCACCAACTGCTCTGCAGTCAACTAACGCTCTGACCTTTTTGGGTCTCTCCCTTAATGAGATCTGAGACACATACAAAAAATAAACACTTTAGCAAGTTAAGGCTAGAACACACTGTATGATTTCTAAAATCTGGTTTTAAAACGGGCATTAGGGATGGTAAGATTCACAGATTTGCATCGGCATAAAAGTTAACGATGCGATGCATCCATTTAAAAAAGTGTGCATCGGATACAAGTTGGCATTTGTATCACGATGCATCATCTCTAACATTTTTGCATTGGTAAAAAACGATTTATATATAATTATTAGTAGATGCGCTATACTTTTATTTAGAAAGTGACCAATAATTTGTGACCAATATTTTATATGTAGATTGATTTCTCCTCACTAAACTCAAGTGTGTTCTCTCATCACCACTGCTGCTACGTGAATATGATGCATCACAACACTACAGAGACTGAGGCGTGTCTCGAGTCACATAGAATGCAGATTAAAGTATAATGGTTTCTATGCCACCAAATGGCATTCATCAAACAGGCATCACCTTTATGGGAAATGAACACATCCTTAAGTTAGATCCTTCCTTTTAAACAAAAGAATAACAACAAGAAAAAAATATTAATTGCTTGTTTGATTGTGCATGGTTTTATTTTAGCTTGTTTGATTGTGCATGGTTGTGCTTGCAAGTTTGAGGTTATATTTTAGCTTGTTTGATTGTGCATGGTTGGGTTCGCAAGTCTGTATGATTTTTTGTTTGTTTGTGTGTGTGTGTGTGTGTGTGTGTGTGTGTGAGTGAGTGAGTGTG